TTAATTAAAATTATTAAAATTAATTAATATTTAAGTTATAATTAATTTAGAATTAATTATAACTTAATTAACATTAATTAATTTAATAAAATATAATTAATTAATATTAACTAATAATAATTAATTTATAAATTCTGATTAATTAAAAAAAGAATAATTGTAATTAATTATATTTAATTAATATAATTATAATTAAATTATTTATAAAAATTAATCCCCTGTTTAGGTGGATTCAAGGGATTTGGCCGAGAAGTACGTGAAAGGGAGCAAAGTTACCTTCATTGCCTTTGAGCTCCTGTGCTTGCTTCCGATCAAAATGTGTTAACTTCCGATCCGACAGGTAGGGAATGTCGTCGAATGAGCAAAGTCGAACAACATAGAGGGAGGAGGCGACGGGTTGGGCCTCACGTGAGGAAGAGGTAGGGCACGGGAACTCTCCCTCTCTCTCCTTCTCTCGGCTTGGAGTCGGCAAAGGCAGAGGAGCTCGGGCAAGGGGAGATCGGAAGCTGGGCGTCGGCTTGGGGAGCGTCGGCTCAGGGAGAAGGTAGGGTAAGGAGCTCTCTCTCTTCCTCTCTCTCTCTGTGTGGACGTCGGACTGGACCGAACGGAGCAAAGGGGAACGGAACAGGCAGCTCGCTCGCTGGAGAGGAGATCGGGCGTGGAAAAGTCGAGAGAAGGCAGAGGGAGATCGGGAGTAGAGAAGCAATTCGTGAGTGTCGAAGAGCCTGTGGAGGTCCGGTATTTAACGACTCGATTTGGGTACGATTGAGCGGATCTTACGCAGGATTTCCGGGAAACGACTCCAACAGCGCTGATTTCAGCGGGATTCGCGGATGTCTTCGACAGATACGAGGTACGGAGCGGGATATTCGGAATTTCAACAGAGGGAAGGTATGATTTCACTCTCGTTTTTCCTCTGGATATTATTCATTGGTCAACAGTGGAGCTCTACAAAATGGTAATATGAAATATCTCATTTGGAGAAGAATCTAAAATATTTGTAAATAACAAAGGTAAAATTCTCATGGGTTTGAAGAATGGAGGCAATTAATTCATCTTAATTATTTACTTTTAGCCAATATGAAGAATAACATTTTGAACTCATTAGTTGTTAGAGAAAGGATACTTTTTTACTAAAAAGAAAATAAACTTTTTTTAATGAGATGACAGATTAATTTGACTCCTAAGATGCTTATATCAAGAATATTATATTTCCTTTAAATGATGTTGCAAAGTATTTAGTAGCTCGCTATAGTTATTCATCATGACTAAGCCATTTATGATTCGGACATCTCAACTTTGGGGGCCTTAATTTTTCAAGATGTTAAAAGCCTGCCTTACTTCTACCAACACACCAACTATTTTATTTATTTATTTATTTTTAGAGATGAAGAATTAAATCATTCTTAATATGGCTCAAATCACAACCAAAAGTAAGAGAATATTTAAGCATTAGTTAGTGACTTGTATAGTTCCTTAATATACTGGCAAGCTTTGCATTAACCTCTAATCCAATTGATTCCAATTTAAACTATGAACCGCTTTATCAAATGGATATATAGCAGGAAAAGAATACATGCTCTAATTAGTAATTTGCGATGTTAAAATTCTCACCTCCATTTATTGATCCATTCCCTGTCACCTAAAAGCAAAAAATTCATAGTCACGTTGTGTTTTATTAGTGATAGACAAATAAAAAATTAACATATATAACATCTTATATATATATATATATATACACACACACACACACACACATATATATGTTAATTTTTTTAATATCAAATTCATGTATTTGTGTGTGCTACAGTCAAACTTTTGGGACTTTAACATGAGTAGAAACTTAAGTTGGGTTTTATAGTGAATTCTAATATTTGAATGAGAATTTAAAAAATGAATAAAATATTATATTAATTAATTTAATAGCCAATTTTCGAATATTATGTACCTAATTGCCAAAAAAACATATGCGAGATTATTGGAAATTGCATTATTGATTTGATTGCTTGAAGCTACTAGCTAGGAAAAATGACGGATTTAAAATAATTGAAAATAAAATTATTATTTAACAATCAAATGAGTCATATCTGCATAAGAACTCATTCAAAATTCAACTATATGAATCCAATTTAACTTCTCTGAAAGTTAACACAAAAAAGGAGAAAAAGATACCTCGGCAGGCTGACTAGTTTCCTTCCTCGTGGAAATCTCCTCTTCCGGAAATGACTTGTTATCTTCCATAAAGGTCTTTCTTCTCTAACCAGAAAACTTGCTCAGTAAAGTGTATAAAAATAAGTAAAAGGGTGAGAAATCAGCAAAGAGAGATTGTAATTAAGGGGACTCTTGATCGCTGCACTTTGGCTTTTCAATGTAGGCTCTGCCATTTGACTTTGGTTTAAACCGATCAAAGAAATCTAATCGAAATTTGTTGTTGTCATTTCTTTTTTTTTATGATAAATATTTTTTTTCGCAAGAAGTCTGACAAAGATATAACATAAAGAAAATTAAAAGAAAAGCATTACTTCTTAATTAAATTCATAAAAAGATCTGATTGGATTCTATTTTTCTTAAATGAATCCAGCAATCCTCTAGTAAATATTTAAATTTTTATATAATTTTCTTCCTATTTTCATAGATCCATTTAAGTAAAAAGAAGACCAGTCATTTTTTGTGTGAATTTGTTTGAGCGTAGACCACTTAAATAAAATTTTGACATTGTAGCAAGGTCTACTCATATTCTTCCAGATCAGGTTGATTAAGTCATCATGAGAGCATGAAGGTAGGTACTCACCTAAAGCCTCTACTATGGCTAGCATAACTCATATAGGGTACCCACCTTGAAAACATAACTCACTCGAAGTTCTTGTCTAGTGAACAATTACATGTCAAATTTATTTGCTACATGGTTAGCATTAAGTCTAATTATAAATTCTTCGTGTATTTTATCATGCAGCTCATCTTATATTATCGATCTTAGCTCACACATATAAAAAGAGGGTCAATGGTTCTACATGAATATGATTCATATGATATGATGAATTTATGATGCAAATTATGATTTATGAGTCTCTAAACATTCAAGATGTTAGTCTTAACTCCTATAGATGGAAGTTAGATCGGGTCGACTGTATTGTCCGCTTTGAATAAATAATCCCTGTTCTCATTATTAGTGATTGGTGACGTGTTGTCTCTTCTTCACCACATTCAGAAGGCACCTCTATGATGATTTTTATGTCTACCTCTAGGAGCTTTATAAGCTTCTCTGACTTTAAGCAGCTATTCATCACATACTTACTAGTTAACTAAAGTAGTTGAAGAATTCCAAACTTGAGTTTGAAATAGGAGCCTGATGAGTCACTTTGTCACTTCATTACTCATTTCTAGCTTAAGATGCAGGATGTTCATAACACAAAGCCAACCATCGCCCAAACAACACCGACCCAAGGCCTTTGAGGATTTCCTTCTAAATATGTTTTTGGTTTTTAGCAGTAAAAAATGTTTGTTGAGTTACTTGGGCTCATGAATATAAAGTAAATGTTAAGCAATACAATCATGTGACCTCAGCTTCTTCCCTTAAGATGCCCAACCTTATTCTTGTGTAGGTTCTCGATAACTTTTTCAAGATTGGTGAAGTTGGCCTTGTGATGGCCATGAAAAGTTAGTGAGAAGCCACATCATTGCCGCAACTGCCTTCAGCAGTAATAACAAAGCCGATGAGGACGGAGGCTTCCACCATGAGAGATAGGAAAGAAGCATTGCATTATATGATCCCTCGATGAGGGTGAAATCACCTTTGTAACTTAGGTATTTGATTTATTATCTTTTTCATGCATCATTTGTAGAGATCATATATGCAACACGAGATAAGAAGTACTTTTATTGATCACCACCAATATAAACAACCTCGTATGAACACGATCTATCCAAATATTGCATATGCCACAAAGATCAGTATCACGATAGAGAGGTTTGTTGCTACAATCATAATATGGTCAAAGAGTTGATCAATATAGGAAGTTGAAAGAGTTTGTCCTTATACTCTCATAATGTTGACTGGACAAAGAGGGAATGAAAAAAAATAAAAATAAACCATTTATTTTATAAGTGATTCAAGTAGTATAAATAGTCCATAAGCCCTTAAATGTGATCAAATTTGATTAAGATATTATTTGAAAGTGGTTAAATATGACCAAAAAGGGAAGTTTCCCAAAATCTTGAATTTCCTACTCTTGATTATTAAATTATTAAAAAAAATTAGAGTCAATTCTCTTTTCCTCTTAGTTTTTATAAAATAAAGTTGTGTTCACATAGACTTGGAATCTTCCATAACTAATTACATTAAATTTAAACTTGGGGCACTCCTCTCTAAGGAATATTGTAATAACACATTTCACTTTTAACTTATCTAACAACTTGAGAATTTATTAATCCATAATTTGTGAAGAGCTTAATAATTCAACATGTGATATGAATAATTGACTCAACAACTTTCTATAATCTAGGAAACTATTTCTAAAGAAACCCACTACCGGAATTTATCGGTTGGGAATCGTCGGCACCAATCCGATTTTTTGCGCCGGTAATGCGTCGGAAAGTGCGCCGGCGCCGGAAAGTTTTCCGGCCCATTAGATTCGTCGGAAAAAATTTATCGACGCGACCTAAACCGGCGTAGGAATTTCCGCCGAAACGTGCGCCGGAAACTTATATTTACCTCGAATTTCTGTGTGTTCCGGTGGATTTAGTCCGCCAGTAATGACGGGTTTTCCTGTAGTGACCATTCATTTTATTCAAACTTAGAATATTACATATTTGAGGAACTACAAGTGAGTTTGTTCTTCAAGCTGACTTCTAATTTTTCTACTTTAAGTCAATCAAACTTCAAATTAGGAAAATAGAGTTGTCAATGATTTAGATTGAAATAATAGGAACTTCTTGAAAGCATACTTAACTAGTTAAGTAAGAAGTAAACTAACTTAAGTAGGCAACTAGAGTGGTCTCCACTTAGGGTCATATCTAAAGTGCATGACTACTTCGTGCATGTGAGTTATGCCCCTCGGATAGATAGACAATATATACTTAATGATGCCACTTTAACGATTAAATTTAAGTATAACTTTTATCCATGAAAAAGCATAATGTGACGGCCTAATAATAATATCATATCCAACAATACAAGTCGCTTATAACAACAAGATCCAACTCACATTTAGTCAATACTCGCAATTATCTAGGAACTTAAAATCAATATATTATTGAATTTTCAATAGAAGGCAACTCACTGTTGATGATTATAGTTGTCTCACTAAGTTAATAAAAAATTATTAAACTTAATATCATCAAGATTTTTCTTAGGTCATTAAAATAAGCTTCAATTCAAATCTTAAGTATCTATGGAATAAAAAAGTAGAGTTCTAGAACTCAAACTTTCTCTTTGTGATGAGATTGATATTGAGAAGGAGACTAGACCATTTTGATGACGAGTCCTAGAATTGATTATTCCATGAATATGAAAACTTTGTTGGACTATGAGACACATCTATACAAAGTGATGAATTTTCCTAAAAAGGTACATTCATGAATAATGACTAAGACCGATCTAACATAACTATTGATTAGTCGAATGTTCTATCTTATTCACAAATAAGAGAAATTCTAAGTTATCAGCCATGAGATCATATTCATAGGAGTCACAATGATGTATCTTATTAGATAGAAAAAAGTTTAATAAATAGTATAACTCTATATTCATTTTGTTAGTAGTTACAATTTGCCTACCAAGTCAAGTAGAACTTTTTACATAACATAAGTGATAAAGAGTTGCAAATTATTCGTCTAATAAGCAATTAATCTTCATTGTTGTCCTTATATGCATAAGAATTTGAGTAACAATCAATGCTCAATTAAAAGTACTTGAAATCTTTCTTTGTCATATTAAGAATGTCCTACTTCACCAAAATTTCAAAGCAAAAAAAAAAAAAATTCATTTCTCATACTTCTCAAAGATTGTGTTGTTAGCATACAATTTAAAATGAATTAAAATAATTTATTGTACGGATATCACAAGCTATCTCTCAAGTTCAACTTTTTTCTTCATTCTTCTTCAAGAAGGGTCCCAACTCAACAATTTGAGTTTGACTATTCACCAACATATAAGAGAGATTCCTTCTCATCAACTACAATTATTACAATATGGATTCCAATTTATAAAATTTAATCTTGGAAAAGAATTTACTTAAGGATATCCTAATGTAATTTATGTCAAATGGGCTTAAGAGTCCTTCAATTTGCATTGAGATCGGTTCTCATATATACTATCATAAACTGTACTAGTCTCATCACAAATCAAAGGGATCTTAAGCCCATCCTGACACAAATTTGGTAAGGATATCCTTCCGTACTTTTTTTTTCCTTATTGTTATCCATTATCTTCACTTTTGAGTGTTGTTGGAACTTAACTTGCATTCTTCTTAAATTTGAGATCTTGATTTATTTTCTCCATGTGGGTTAATTCCATGGCTACTTTCTTTCCAGATAAATTGTCTTTTGAGGTCATGATGATATCTTGAATTTTGACATTTTTTGCCTTATCGATATCCACACAAAATTGTAGTGAGATCCCATCTATATTTAAGGAGAGTTCAAATAATTCGTATATTTATTTAAATTTTCAAACGCACTTTTCTTCCTCTTTAATTAAGGACCAAACAACGACTCAATACCTCTCCAACACTAAAGCCAAATTCAACTCCATACCTACAGTTTGATCCCCCCAAATTCAAAGGATGTTAGCTTATACACCTTCAATGGACTCTTGCCAATCTATCATGCTTTCAAAACAACCATCCATTCCACTCTACAACCTATCAATTTAAATGATCTATACTCCATATCACGCAATGAAGAAACTAAATTAGCCATGAAGTAGCTCAAGACCTTCAGCACATCCATAGTTCGGACTACTCTACAACACTCGTTGCTATTTGAGAATGAGGCAAAGGTCACCCTCATTCCATCTTATAGTAAAGGTCGATCATGCCACCCTACTCAAGCCCAATCTACCTCTAGCTCAACAGTCATACGCCAAATCTACGACAAAAAATGAGCATGCATTATTTGTTGGTAAAATCTCAACTATAAGAACACCTCTGTTGGTACTCATGCATTATTTGTTGGACAACCATCCAACTTGATGGAATTGTATCTTGACTTAGATGTTACTTCACACTATCATTGATTCCATCCAAGTTCACA